ACCAGTGAACTATTTTGAAGTTTATCTCAGACAATATCACAATTCAATCTATCAGTTCATCTCCATTCATTTACAGAAACTCATACCATAACATGGACAGCTAGGAATTCAAGAAACTGGAGTTAAAGAGAAGTATGATCATCAGTTCCATTCAATCTTTTCGCAAATACTTCACATACCCAAAACAAACAAGAAGCATATTGAAAGAGGCAAGGAACAACTTATACCCATTTTGGTAAACTGAGAATCCAAATTTCTCTTTCCCCAAATCAGCTTCTTTTCTTTCTTCCCCTTTTCGACCTTCCCCTCTCCTGAATCAACCCCAAAGTCCTCAATCTGCTTCCTTTCTCCTTCCCCAACCCGAAGCTCCTTTGATTTTTAAAGAAAAAAACTCAGATCCATAACCGTCCTGCTGTCAATCTCTGGTTCGATTGTCCTTCCTCGCTGCAACCTTGAGTAAATCCATAGAACCCATCACCATTTTCTCCTCTTCTTTTCGTTCCATCTCCTGTTTCAATCAGACCTCTCTCTGTCCCTCTTGGGTTCCTTTCCATTTTAGTGAAAGAGAATAGTATTGAAGTGCTCAGCATCTGCTTTCGTCACTCTCTCTCTTTGGTTATCTCTTCAGAGCTTCCAAAAGAATACTTGGTTATTTGCCATATGGCATATAATTCAGTGGTTTAGATACTGTGTTGAGTATTACTTTGTTGTAAGAATATAAGTAATGGTGTTCAGGGCACATCCCCAAAATGAAAGTAGAAGATGGAAACATACACTGGCCACAAAGGGTAAGATTCCTCTTCTTGAACACTCCATTAATAAAGAATCTCATTCTCTGTCATGGACCCTTCTTGAGAATTCTTTGCTCAAGTATTCTCCTTGTTCTTTCTAATGAACTAATACTTCTTTTAGGACTAAAATGATGATTTAGTTTAAATATTATTTCATTTTCTTCGAACTAATCTCTATCTCAATTTCGGTTAAATTAGTTTTTAAATTTAATCATTTGTAGGACAATTACTTATAAATATATTTTGTGTATAAATTCTTCCTATACGATAAAAAATGATTTTATGATCCCGAACCGATTTTATTTGGGATCGTAAATCTCAAGTTTATGTTTGGAAGAACATATCTACTGGTGTTTATAATTGGTTTGTTCTATGTAACACTAATTAATAGTGTTTTCGGATTTGAGTAAGGCTAATAACTTGTTTTTCTAAAAGCACACAACTATTATATACATAATAACAAATATTTACATTTGAGAATATATTGATGTATAATCATGTGATTAAAAATTTTTATGAATTGTGTTTAATGAAAATAAATATCATTACTATAACCTAATCATAAGTATAATTTTTACATTTTATATATATTTATGGCTTATGCAACTAAAAATTCATTTTATTTCAGCTTGTATTATATATATATATATATATATATATATGATGAGAAGAAATGGTTTCTTAAGCATTACTACGTTAGATGTAAGGCCAAATTTGAACTCTTCAACAGAAGAGAATACAAG